ACCAATTCAAGAGCATGTAACAATTCTTGGGGTATGGCACTGTAAGAGAAGCACTAGACTTCTAACCAAAAGGTCAGCAGTTCAAACCCACCAGCTGCTCCTCAGAAACCCTGTACAGGGTCACTATAAGGGGGATTCAACTCAACAACACTTAACAACAACACAAAAATATCTCCCAGAGTTGCCCATTGTAATGTGACCTGAAAAATATCCAAATCTACCTCTTTAGCTCAAATTCAAACGATTATTTTAGTCCCTTAATGGTAGCGTAGTGGTTACGAATCGGGCTGCGAACCTTAAGGTCAGTGGTTCGAAACTACCAGCCGCTCCGCGGGAGAAAGATGAGGCTTTCTACTCCCGTAAGGATTTACACCCTCGGAAACCCTGTACAGGGTCGCTATGGGTCGGCTCCGACTCGAAGGCACTTAACAACAACAACAATGACCACTGAATAATTATGTTTACTATTTTTCCACTTTCAAAGTATTTTAGTGTTATTGTGGAGATGCTGTCTTAGGTGCCTGAGAACAAGGGCAGAATCTACCTTCTGTCCAAGATCTATGAAACTTAACCTGAATTTAACATCTTAAGTTCTTCCAAGACCTTCAGAAGTATTTTATGAATACTTAACTGAGTAGCATTTTACCTTACTTGCTCCCATTTTCCAGTAAACAGGAAACACAGCTCAGTCTCAACTACTTGATTATGTTTAACATTTCAAAGATGGCTTCACATATATAGAAGGCTGGTGTCCATTTGTGCTTCAGTTAATTCTTAAAACAAAACAATAAAAAAGACCAAATTTGGTTAAGCAAAGTGCTACCTCTATTTTAGTGTTAGAACATAAAGATAACTCACAAAAACGTGTGTCTGGACAAAGTAGCTTTATCGTGTGAAAGCATACATTTATAAGGAAAGGGAACAGGAAATGTTAAAAAGTTCCTGTACTTACTGTAGGAAAAAGCACAAAAACAATAATAGCACCCACTCCACCTTACCTCTTAAGCATTATATAATTTTTTGTAAAAAAAAAAACTAACAAAGGAAGATAAAATGTAACCTAGATAGTCTCTTGATATGGCTTTAACATTTTCTGAAGAAAGCATTCGTTATATCATGCAAACAAACTAAGACCTATTTAATTTGTGGATACAGGTCAAAATGAGAAATTAATGTTTGAAGAGTATGACATCAACAAAACTCTTCTGATAAAGCTTAGACTAAATTTAGAACACCTTTTAGGGGAAAAGATCTTCAGCCACCAATATTAAAATGTCTTTGAATAACTGTTTGCTGTAATTACTATACTTTCAGCCAAAAAAAACCGTAATATACTTAAAATAAAATAGCATACTTCCCTCCAAAAACTCAAGTCAGACATTTATTGAGCATCTATCAGATAAGTTCTGGAAATATTTAAAAATCCTTTGTTAAGTGCTGTGGAGTCAGTTCCGACAAGCGGCTGGTGAGCTTGAACCGCTGACCTTATGGTTCAAACCGACCTTGCAGTCCAATGCATTAACCCACAGGGCCAAAGAATGGTAACCAATTAAATTTAAGACTCTATTGTAACTTTTTGTTATTAGATGCTGTCGAGTTGGTTCCAACTCATAGTGACCCTATACAGGGTTTCCAAGGAGCGCTAGTGGGTTTGAACCATCGACCTTGCAATTGGCAGTCCAGTGCTTACCCTACAGTGTCACTCCAGGACTCCTTATTATATGTAACTCATTATAATCATTAATAGTTTAAGACCTAACAAAATTTCTAATTGTGATAATATAGATTTTTTAAAAGCAATGTTATTCATTTAGACTGACAATACTCAACAAATGTATGTATTTCAAAACTAAACTAAAGCTTTACATGAGGCCAGCATCTTCAGATTAGAGGTAGAAAATAGGTATGCAGTTAGGCAAAATACAGTTTTAACTCTCTAAGTACCTAACAAAATTTGTTTTTCAAAGCCAAGGCCTTCCAGTCAATAAACAGTGGCTTTCTATGAGACACAATCAAGAATTTGCCCTCTTTGAATGTTTTTAGATGCCCTATCTCATATGTTGTTTTTTAACACTATTATGCTGAAATTAACTACTACCCTAGAATACCGGCAAGAAATGAACTAACAATTTCATGAACTACTATTTTTTTAGAGGAAATTTCCAGCCAAGTTAAGGCTCATGTGCTAATTTATCTTTAAAAAAAAAAAAAAAAATCCACTGAAGAATTGACAAAAACTTCCAAATTAGGCTACATGCAGCAAAATTTTTAAAGCAGGAAAAGAAGTTAAATAAATGAAAACTAAGTACTGGATGGTGAAAAGTTTGACTATTTTTAAATATTATAAATGTTATATTACTTAAAACTTCAAACTCTCTTCATGTAATAGAAAAAAAATTATAAAACAGACTATTCTGATTGGATCCACAAGCCATGTATTAACTACATACATGTAAATCCTAATAACAGTTTTAAGAATCTCTTCAAACTTGGGAACCATTATAGGGATCATGGATCATGTAATAAATACATAACCAAAACCAAACTCACCGCCATGGAGTCTATCCAGACTCATACTGACTGTATATAGGGTTTCTGAGGCTGTAAATCTAAATTGTTGTTGTTATGTGCCATGGAGTCAGTTCTGACTCACAGCAACCCTGTATAGGGTTTCCGAGGCTGTAAATCTTTACGGGAGCAGAAAGCCTGATCTTTCTCCCGCAGAACAGCTGGTAGTTTCGAACTGCTGAACCATTATGCTATAGGAGCAAAAAGCCTCTTTCTGCCAAGAAGCACGTTTGAACTGGTAGTTTGAACTACCTACCTTGTGGTTAGCAGTCCAATGTATATCCTACAGTACCACATAATGTGAATTCAAAATTCCATTCCGACTAAGTATTTCAACCTCTAACATCCTTTTGTTTTTTCCCCAACCAATGCCCATTAGAAGCCAAACGTCTTAATTTCACCTCCTAACCTTAATACCACTCATTCAAAGGTGAGCGCAATAATAATAAAACTGTCAAAAAGATTAGCAAGGAGTAAACTGACCAATCTCCAAAGACAACAGCCCCTACATAACTGACTTGGCTTTAAAAGTAAGCAAATCAAGGAAGTAATTTATCAGTCGTTTGAGATATCCTAATAATGATGATGATGGTTTAGTCTGGTACCTTCCCATTCTGCCTTCCCAGCACATGGGGGACTAACAGCTAATTGCTGACTAGCTGTATAAGAATTTTGAAAATGTTCCTGACAGTTAAAAATGCTTATCAAATAGACGTCTCTATCTGTAATAAACCAATAGACACTCTAAGAATATGCTAGAGGGCTGGCAGGAGGGGAGGGGCTGATTCAAAAGAAAAATGAGACATAGTCCCTACTCTTCAAGGGCCTCTCAATTCATTAGAGCACAGAAGTAAATACACATGAAAGAGTCAAAGACCAATTGGTAATTGCGAACCTGAGTGCTACAGACTTTAAGTGCAAGAGCTGTCCTGATAAGTTTAAATATCTATAGGTTGGAATAATAATATTACTATTAATAGCTATCACTAGAGCACTTACGATATGCCAAGTGCTTTACAAGGATTATCATTTAGTCTTCACAACACTCTTCTGAATAGAGTACTATTATTTCCAATTTACTCAAGGGGAAACAGTCAAAGTGGTTAAGGAATTTAACCAAGGTCACTCAGCCAGTTAAGTGGCTAAAACGGCTGCTTACTCAGGCAATACAATTCTAGGGCTCCTACTATAAGACTTAGTGAAGCCGAGCACAGGGTGGGGGGCAAAGGGCCATATAGACTGGCAATATTGTTCGCGCAACATCAAGCACACATTCTCCGCATTTCGTTCCAAGAAATGAAGTTCCAAAGATTCCTATCTTTCATACCAGCAACCTTAAACTGGATACTGGGCGGGGGGTGGGGGTGGGGGTTTACAACGACAACAAAAATGTCTAACAAGCGTTAAATTCATACAGGCTTCAATCCAGTGATAGAAATTGAACTAAGTCATTTGTTTTAAAATCTGTGGTTTCTTTTGCTGTTTAACTGATTTTTTTTTTCTCTCTCTTTCTCTGAGAGAGAGAAAGAGCGCACGAGCTGAAAATTAGGGTGAGGAAACCGCAGGTATGGCAAACTACTGTTTTTTGATTTACTGAGAAAAAAATTTAAGTTTCATGGCTAAGGGAAACGCGTTATCCTAGGTACTCGAAAAGCTTGGAAAGTTGCCAAAATTAGTTGCAGTCCCAGGACAAAATGGGGTTTGGGAAACATTTAATGACGAAAGTTTAATCCAACCCGAAACGGCTATAAGGTGAAAAGACGGGGCAAAGAAATGCCAGTTGGTCTTCGAGGAAAGCGACAATCCCTGCCACACTTCCCCACGGTCCGCGGCGCCGCGCGGGGCCGGGACAATCCGAGAAACCGCTCCCCGGGAAGACGAGAGGTGCGAAGCGGGGCTCTTCGCGACGCCCTGGGCTTCGCGGCGGCGGGCCGGAGAGGGGAGGGAGTCCGGGCCGGTTCGCCCTCCTCATACTTCGGGCAGAGGAGGCTCCGAGCTCCAAACTGAGGAGTCGAACGGATGCCGAGTGACGAAATGGAAGAGAGAGAAGATAAGAGCCCGAATGCCCCTGGTGGCCCCAGAAAGAGAAAGGATCCAAGTGAGCTCAAGCAAAGAAGGGGACAAAAAGAGACCAAGCAGGAAAGCGGGGACCCGCGGGGGCGAAACGGAGTTCTATGAAGAGGCTAAAGGAAGCCGGGCTACCGCGGGAAGCACGATTTGGGGGAGACCAGAGATGGAAGGAGATCGACGGCGGTTAAAAGCATCTCTCCTCCAAGAGTTCGAAACTCCTAGCCATCCATCCACGCCCGCCGCCCGGATGGGGGAGGGGGCGCGTCTCCCCCCCTCCCCCCAAGCCTCCTGCCACACAGGAGAGGACGACCACCGCCCGGGCCCGGCCTGGACGGGCGACTGCCTCCGACCTGGACACTCACAATTCGCCTCTCCCTGATTTCTCCCAGTTCTTTATCCACTCTGCGGGAACCACCACAGTTGCGGCCGCCATCTTCCCCTCACTAGTAACAGAGGCCCGGATGTGTAGCACGCGAGCGAGGGGTCAAAGGGGAGTACCGCCCACGGGGAATGCCGGGAGCTGAGAGTTCGGTTTTCGATTTCCCGCCCCACCTTCCTGGTAACCTCGCGGAAGCCCGAAGCCCGGCCACCAAAGATGTGGTCGCGGGCCGTGGGCCTTTCGCGAAGTTCCCATCACTTTCTTTCAGAACAGGAAAAATGCCATCTCCCATCTGACTCATAACCCTTACGTGCCGTCGAGTCGATTCCAACGCAGCTACCCTGTCTAGGAGCAGCTGGTGAATTTGAACCCTCGACCTTGCAGTTCAAACCGACCTTGTGGTCCAGTGCATTATCTCACAGTGCCACACCAGGACTCCAGCCGTTATGTTGTTTTTAAGTGTCGTTGAGTCGGTTCCGACTCATAGCGACCCTGGTGAGCTTGAACTGCCGACCTTGTTGTTCAAACCGGCTTTGCAGTCCAGCACATTAGCCCACAGCGCCACACCATTCAAATTCGATTGTAATTTGTTGTTTGTTAAATGCCCTTGAGTGGGTTCCGACTTAAAGCGACACTGTATAGGGTTTCCAAGGTGTGACTGGTGGTGCCGATCTTGTGGTTAGCAGTCCATTTATCTGCTTATATTTCCAGTGTCTCGCACATATTGTGTATGCTAGACATAGATATTGAGAAACAATAAGCCAGGGTGCTGACCCACTACGAGCTCAGTTTGGGGGAAAGAAGGACATATAGGCAGATAAATGACAGTACACTCTGCTACAGCTGAGATAAAAGAAACCACTCAGGAAGGGGGCGGGTATTCACTGTGTGCCAAGCATTATCCTAATACAAGGGAAGAATCTAGAAATCAGCCCTGGAAAATAGAAGCAATGCATGCATTCTGAAACCCATACTGTATCTAGTGCTTTCGTTGTTGCTGTTAAGTGCCGTCGAGTCAGTTCTGATCCATAGCGACCCTGTATAGGGTTTCTGAGGAGTAACTGGTGAGCTTGAACCACCGACCTTGCAGTTCAAAAACGGTTTTGCAGTCTAGTGCATTAACCCACAGCGCCACACCAGGACTTTCGTAGGCTTATGCAAAACTAGGGGGAGCAAGTACGATGAGAAACTGAGTCTCTACATAGCCACAAAGTATATCCGAGAAGATACTTGATCAAAGAGTGAATTAGAATTGAGGCAGGAGGCAAATAGGAAGGCTGGCAGGTGTGCCAAAAAAAAAAACAAACCAAACACCAAAACCTGATGTTCGTGCAAACGCACCCTCCATAAAAGTTATATCCTAGGAAGATTTGACCTTTCGAAATAAGTCATCCCAAACGAAATTCCCTTTAAGCTGGGGGGACTGGGGAGGGGGGGATTCCCGCTGCAAAGTTGTTTGTTTGTTTGTTGCCATTATGCAACCTCCTAAAGGGGGTCTAGCTAACTAACCTAGGTCTGAAAAAGCTACAGCAAGGACCAGAAGCTCCAGAAGATAAGAAGTAATAACCGCATCCTGAGTTGTGGTCACCTCATCACCTATTTGACACCTAATGGTCTCTTTTAAAGTTGTGTTGCAGAAGTAGCGGGAGCCAAACATGTGCCAATGAGAGAGGCAAAAAGGCAGTGCATATCAAGGAGAGTGGCATGTGCAATTATGACGCAGCCACGCAGCCGTTTGCCAGAGTGACTCCATCTTGGAGTACACACATACTCTTACTAGTGTAACCCAACCCTTTCCTGGCAAGCCCCACCTCCCCCTCACCCAGCTCTTTTATGATGAATCAACATGAGACCTTTTCCCCTTAAAAGCCCCAGCTAAGTTTCTGTTCTGCAGAGTTAAGAGGCTAGCATTGGGTTAGGCCTTTCTGTTTCCCTCAGGAGCTTTTTTCATGTGGAACCTCTGAGCCTCTCCTACTCGTTCTTGGTCAGTAGAAGAAAAGAACCTTAATTGAGGAAAACTGCAGGTCAAAGGTTGCCGCAGGCTACAGAAGCTATATAGTGGAAGAATATGGTGGGCACCATTCTAACTATGTAATGAAAGGAAACATACTAAGATAAAGCTTACTGGTCAGATAGATACTATTGGAAAACCAGAGACTATGACCCTTAGTCACCTTTCAAATCTGGAAAAGAACTCAACCCCATAGCTCAATTTTCAGTCAGACTATAGATAAGATTATAAGGGGAACAATAACACTAGGAAGGTACATAGGCCTTACAGTAATCAACCATTTGAAATCCAAAGGGCAGCATTTATCCAAAGAGGAAGTTCAGAAGAGTTAGGAAAGTTGGAGGAATAGAAACAGGAAATGGGATAAGTGATGTTGCATTATGCGGATTACAATTATCGAACAAAATATGTATGAATCGTTGAATGGAGAACTGATCTGCTCTATAAAAACCTTCACCCAATTTACAATACAAACCTTTTAAAGAGAACAATCGAATTAATATGACACCTATTTTTTTTTTCTTCAGGTAAATCTCTTTTTATTTATTTATTTTCGACCATTCCTGTTGTGTCTCAATTTACCCATATGACCACTCAAGACTCTCAGGATCGATAGGAAGCCTTTATTAGCTGGCCAGCGACTACAGCCTCCCTAAAAATGGGAAAAACTGCAGCCCCGACCCAGTTTTTCAAAGAGTATTTATATATTACATAGGCAGTCTGACATGATGTTGTACAAACCAAGGGTATGATGTATGCATGAGCTATTAGGGTGGGGACTAGGAGTACATCAGCTGGGACAGTTACTTCTCAAGATTAACTTGGGGATAGGGGTACATCTGCCGGGATAGTTAGATTAACTTTGGCCGGCTGTTCTCAAGGTTAGCCTTGGCCGCTGGTCGCAGTATCCTGTGAGTAAGGCAGGCCCACTCAGATGTGAGGAATTTGCATAAACAGTGTTACAGAAGCCAAGTTTAGCCAGAGTTAAGGGGGAAGGGAGTTTCTGAATCCAAGGGTGTTGTTGATGCTAAACATTTCCCACTTCAGCCTGATCCTTTCTTAAAAATTAGTTACTATAGGGCAATTGGGCCTTACAATACCAAGTAAGCATATCTTACTGGTAGTGGTGGCCATGGAATCAGTTCCAACTGTATAGGGTTTCCGAGGCTGTAAATCTTTAAGGGAACAGAAAGCCTCATCTTTCTCCAGCGTAAGTTTCGAACTACTGACCTTGAGATTAGCAGCCCGACTCATAACCACTAAGCTACCAGAGCTCCTTAGTCACAGGGTAGACATGTGCTAAGTTCGGTGATGGGGAAGGCAATATATAACAACACTAGTAAGAAATGCTTAAGGAGCTCTGGTAGCGTAGTGTTTACAATTTGGGCTGCTAACCTCAAGGTCAGCAGTTCGAAACCACCAGCTGTTCCGTGAGAGAAAGATGAGGCTTTTCTGCTCCCTTAAAGATTTACAGCCTCGAAAACCCCATACAGGGTCGCTATGAGTCAGAACCAACTCCACCGGCACACCACCACCACCACCACCACCACCACCACCCTGTGATGAGTGAATTACTGTCTCTTCCCTCCCACCCTAGGAACCATCAAAAAAAATGTTTCTTTTAGTATTAAAACCTTTTCTTTTTACAATAGTGGTTGGTCTCTTACAATATTTGTTCTTTTGTGATTGACTAATTTCACTCAGCATAATGTCCTACAGGTTCATCCATGTTATGATATGTTTTGCAGATACATCATTATTCTTCAACATTTCGTAGTATTCCATTGTGTGGATGTACCAAAGTTTGTTTATCCACTCTTCCATTGGTGGACATTTAGGCTATTCTAACTTTTGCTGTTGTAAATACTGCTGCAATGAATACGGGTGTGAATTTATCTGTTTCTGTCACTGCTCTTATTTCTTCAGGATAAATACCAAGTAGAGGAATTGCTGGATCATACAGTATTTCTGGAGTCCTGGTGTGGTGTTATGGGTTAATGCACTGGTCTGCAAAGTCGCTTTGAACCGCAAGGTCAGCAGTTCAAGCTCATCAGCTGCTCCTTGGAAACCCTCTATAGGGTCACTACGAGTTGGAACCAACTCGACAGCATACAACAACAGAGTATTTTTATTTCCAACTTCTTGACAAAGCACCATACCATTTTTTCACAGTGGTTGCACCATTTTCCAGTCCCACCAGCAGTGTAGGAGAATCTCAGTCTCTCCATACCCTTGCCAGTATTTGTTGTTTTCTGGATTTTTAAACTTTGCTATTAGTGCTGGAGTCCTGGTATGGCTCTCAACCATAAGGCTAGTTTTAACTGCAAAGTAAACAATTCAAACTCACCAACCTCTCCTTGGAAACCTCTCAGGGTCACTGAGTTGGAACCAACTCGACGGCACTTAACAACAACAACAACATTAATGCTGGGGTAAGATAGATATGTCATTTGATTTGCATCTCTCTAATGGCTAATGATCACAAGCATTTCTCCTTATCCTTATTGACTGAATGAATGTCTTCTTTGGTGAAATGTCTGTTCATGTTCTCTCCCCATTTTTAAAATTGGATTATTTTTCTTTTTCTCGTTGGGGCATTAAATTTTAAAGAGTAGTCCCTTGCCTGATGTGTCATTGCCAAAAAATTTCCTCCCAGTCTGTGGGTTCTCCTTTCCACTCTTTTGAGGAAATCTTTTGATGCACATAAGTGTATAATTTTTAGGTGGTAAAACTCTGGTGTATTCCCACAAAGATTTATAGCCTCAGAAACCCTGTACAGGGTCGCTATGAGTCGGAACCAACTCCACGGCACATAACAACAAAAACAACACTCTGGTAGTGGAGTGGTTACAAATTGGGTTGCTAAACTCAGAGTTAGCAGTTCAAAACTACCAGCTGTTACGGGGGAGAAAGATGAGGCGTTCTGCTCCCGTAAAGATTTACAGCCTTGGAAACCCTGTACAGGGTTGCTATGAGTCAGAACTGACTCCATGGCACATAACAACAATTTTTTCTTCTCTTCTGCTATTTGTGTATTTTTAGTGATGTTTGACAGTGTATTTATCCCAG